ATTCTTGTTAAGTAACGGAATGGTAACAACTTCCAAATGAAAGTGCCAGGTGTAATGTTCATGATCTGCAATTCATATCAGGTCAACTATTCACTATTATTGTGCCCAGCCAAGATCTGTCCACATACTTTTTTTTTTCCTCACAGCTAATGGCACTTTACTGTAAGGGAGACCTGTATGCTGGAGAATGAGAGAGGACTTGGTCCTATGCTCAAGACACAACAACCTTTCTCCATAGCTTTTATTACTCGACAAAGGAGGAAAAGGGGAGTACAGGGAAAAAAAAGATTGTGAGTTTGCACAGATGTGTAGAAATAGCACAAGTTTCTGTGGGTTCCCCAGGCAACTACTAGCTTAGAGAACTGCTAACAAACTCTTCTCCTAGCAACAGTACCAAGAGCTTACAAAGCATAAGCACGATATCCCGAATCCTGTTTATTTTGCTAACCTTATGTTAACATTTCTGCCTTTCATTTGTGACCTCAAAATTCTAACTCAACATCAAAAACCATGGTATCAGTGTGACAAGCTAGGTGATGGAGCAGATTATTCAGTAGAGATGAGTCTCACCAACAGCCCCATTGTTCTAAATACAAAGCACTCTTCAAATCTTAAAGCAAAGGCTATGCCACTACGGAGAAAAAAAGTAAAGCTGCTGAAGATTTGCCAAAGTTCCTGGGTTTTTAAAAAAAAAATGACTTTGCAGAAACATAACAAGTAAAACCTTAACATAATTCATATACATGCAGACAGCATATTATGAGAGGAATAGAAAATATAAGAAGCAAACACAACCAGATTAAAAAACAGCCACATTTGAATGGTCAGACAGGTAGATAAGGAACAGGGGTTCTTGATAAACCCCACATTTCACCTGAGTCAAATCAAAGGACAACTTCAAACCACCTGTTTTTACTATCACAAAATACTGACTTTCAGATTACTTTCCCACTGTACATGCTGGCAAGGCAGCCCCTAACTTCACAAATTAAAAATAAGCACATTGAGCTTGACGTCTATTCAGAAACACTTCCTCACAAGCAAGGAGAAGGCATAACAAAAACAGCGTGGCTTATCAAGCCCAGCCCAATAGATGACAGTCAAACATGGTATGCAAGTCAAGCAATACATCTACTAGAAAAAGCGTAATGGAAAAAGATGACTAAAGTACCAGCCAGACTAAATTAAGTACTAAACAACAGAATTCATGAACAAAAAAACCAACCAAACAAAAAAGAACAACCCCCCAAAAAACCTCAAACCCAACAGTATTCTAAAGGACAAAAACCTTGTTTCAGTAGTAGAATCCGAAACCGTACTCACAGCTGTAAGCTGAGAGGTGACCATGCATCAAAAAGCCAGAAAGCAACAATAACATGAAGAAAATAAAATTAAGCTTACTTTGAACTTCTTCCTATTTTTCCTTATATTCCAGCAGCTGTTACTCAGTGGCAACTGCCTCCCAGCAAATACAGCTGCTGTGTTATGGTGTAAGAGCTAAAAAGTAAAACAGAAGTGGGAACAATCAATCTATTTTAGCTTCCTCCATTAAGTAAAATGCAGAGTACTAAAGAGGAAGCACAGATGGCAAGAACAGAGATCCTAAATATACAGGCTCTCCACTGTTAAAGGTGATAGGATGGGCAAGGTCTTCCTTATTTAAAAATACGTAGCTAAATACTGCCTTTTCTCCAACCAGCAACCCTAATAAAGTCAACAGCAATGCAGAGCATTACTGAAGGATGAACTTTGCCCAGCCCTGCAAACATACACTTACTCAGCTTTATGAAGGCATCTAAACTCATTCAAATCATTGTTTACATGTGACAAGCAAAGAATGTCCATGCTTACAGAAGCAAAGTATTATCTTTCATCTGAAAGAAAAATGTGTAATTTTATGCCACATGGTCACTTTGACTGTTATTCAGTAAGTAGCAGCATATTTTCACTTGTATAACCTTAAAGTTAATTACACAAATCCCTGGAGTTCCATGGCAATGCTCATTACATGTGTGCTGCACCACAAACAGAAATTTTCTCCAAAGGCCATTTTATGTGGGATATGAAAGGATATTTCTTCAGGAAAAGACTACTGCTGGAACTAACCACATAAAATCTTCTGTCTTCTCTTAGAAAATGAAGTAGTGGGTTTATTTTGGGAACAAGAATAAACTGGCGTGGTGTTGACTTTTTACTAATCAAATATAGTTCATAATAACACTAGTAAGTTAGAAGCATGTACCTCTGCAACTTAGTGAATAGCACTAAGAGAAAAATGTAAAGGGATTAAGATTTTGCTGTTAGACCTAATGCCAACAAAGCAGAATGACTTAAATTTCAGACTTGCAACCTAGAGCTGGTATAACACTGCTCTCTTGTGGTTGAATACATGCAGTTCATCTGCAGCATGTATCAACTGTTTACATTATTTTTGTGGGTTTGGGGTTTTTTTCCAAAATTTTCAGACATTTTAATCTTAAGATATTTTTTGCTGATCAAGGGTTTACTTCAACCAGTGCCACCTCCACCCCTGCACACTGTACTACTATCTTTTAACCCAGGAGGGAATTTAGGCTTCTGCTTTTTCTCTGGCCCATTGAAATTAAATGCCTTAACTAGCCTGAAACAAAAGGTATAAATACTTCCATCCCGATGTGAGCCTGAACACCCTTGCTCCCATACACAAATAGCCTGCTTTTAAAGCCTCTTCCAGCCTTCTAGGCAAATAGTCTGAAGGAAAACATAAGCAGAAATTAAAATGTAAAGATTACTAGAAACACAGCTGAGCAAAAACATTACATTATTTTTGTTTCAACATTAAAAAGTCAAATTCTCATTGCAGAAGGAGATAACCTGCTGACAGGATTGGGGGAAATAATGAAAACACAGGCCTTTTGATTATTGTAAGCAGTTATTCAAACTAATTCCCTTAATAAGTAATATGGTGGAAACTAATGCCTAGCATAATTGAAAATCTCTCTCAACTAAATAGTTAAATTATAGCCAGATAAAGCAAAGGAGGGTTACTGTATTGCAAATGAAATTGCAATTACATTGAATTTAAAGAAAAAGATCCCTTTAGCAACACAGGTTTTAGAATCTTCATATATTGCTAGAAAGGCAAGTTCAAATACCTGTTGTAGGTGCTTCTGTGTACTGGCTAACTTATTCAAATTGTTACTTTAAGTTACTAGTAAATGCATGGTTTTCTTCAATATTATATATATATGTAAAAGAAATTGAATCAATATAATCTCAATGTCTAAACAAGCAAATAAAAGAATTATGAAGTTATTCTTCACAAATGGCAGCCAAACTACATATGCCTGATCTTTTACACAGGAGTGAGTATATTCTCAATGCTAAATTTGTTAAATATGATAAATGTACATGCCTGAGGAAAAAAAAATCCATCCCAATATTGAGGACAATGCTGTTCAGAAGAAAAGCTGAATTTTCATGCTTACAATGATAACTCTAAGGACTTGTATCGTAAAACAATTGAGTTATTAAATGAAATCATGCCATTAACTAAGGGCAATATGAATGTCAAATTTTCAGTCGTGTCTCTCATTACAGTGGGCTGATTCCATTTTCGCCACTGGAAAACTTCAGGAAGGCTTCATTTTTTCCTGTGTCTTTCAGCCAAGTTTTTACACAGCGAACAGTACACCTGCCCAACCCATGCACAGCCAGTTTCTCCATGAGAATTCTGCGAGAAACTGTCAAAAGCTCTACTAAGTCCAGTCAGGCAACATCCATAGCCTTTTGCTTATCCACTAAGTGGGTCACCTTGTCATAGGACGAGATGAGATTAGTCAAGGAAAACCTGCCTTTCATAAACTGACCAGGCCTGGTCCCCTGGTTGTCCTCTACGTGCACTAGATGTTCTGCTCCATAGCCTTCTCCAGATCCTCCTTCCAGCCCTTCCTGGAGATGGGTGTCACACCTAACCTAATTTACATCTGGAACTACTTAAAGCAAAGAATCTGTTCTCATAACATATGTAGGTGGTACATAGTTAAAAGAAAAAAAAAATAATAAATTAAAAAAAATCAACTTACTCTTTTCCTTAAGGAAGTGGATCAGCTGTATAAACGTTACTGAACAATTCACATCAGACTGACACCAAAATCAGAGGTATCAACAACCTGAAGGGTTGCACAGCTCACTGAAATTTACAGATACTTCTAAGGTCTTACACTAGATCCTTTCTTTAAGAGGTATTAAGACATTTCAGAGAGAATTCCCTTTCAGAATGAATAGACACTTTCAAATTCAAAAGTTCCACTACAAAATGCTTCTATAAGCCAAACTTGCAGTTAAATGATGAACTCTGAAGAGGACAGAAAAAACATACAAAGCAAATCCAAAACAACAGTTCTTCCTGAAGAGAAGAAACTGCTGGTCACATAAAGCAACTGGAGAAAAGACTACTGTATTCAGGGCTTTGCAGAGTAACTCATTCTCTCACAGTAAGATTTCCACCTTCACTTTTGTCATTCACAACAGAACAGGCACAAGCCCCAAGATCCCCTTCGTCTCTGAATGCTGATATAACACAGGAGATAACTTGTTCCATCACTCACAACGCAGATACTGACCAAAATGATGATTCGTAGACTTTACACTCTCCAGGACTCACCTGCCTTCCATATCCTCTTCTGCAGGTACTGGACTCCCTTCATTATTGCTCTCTGCTGCCATAGTGCATCAGGAATAATGGCAGCAGACAAAAGAGGATGGGGAGCTTTGACAGAAAGGGGTAAGACTGCAAAGTACAGAGTCAAGCTGACTTATTCTTACAGATTTCATAGCAGATGTCAAGTTTAGGTAAGAGAATGTGGTAAATGTGTACTTCGAAAGTGGAAAGAAAGGGAAGGTCTAACTGCTACAGACTGAGAGGGTAATGGAAGAATGTGATAAACACCAGTAATTACTAAATCCAGAAAAATACCCAAAGACAATTTTAGAAGCATGAAATAGCAAGACACTTAAGCTCCAGTTTTAGTCAAAAGATAACTTAATAAACAGAATTACAGGATTTTCACCATAATTTCTTACAACTGTGCAAATAAGACTCAGCAGTAAGAGGAAATCCAGCTGCCAGTCTACTCCATGTGAGCAGGGAAGTAGAAACTACACAGGGACACATTCTAAAGTCTGATTGGTACGATTTTTGTTTTATACATCAGGGTCATTAAAGGACTAAGTGAAGGCAGCTGTTGTAAGCAGTGGATTGTAATAAATTTGTAAATAAAGTACTCTCACAGGAAAAATGTAAGCTCTATTTTAATTTTAGATAACAGTTTATTTAAGAAGTTTTCTAATATGGTCAGTGCTTAAGATACAAAAAAAGTCAACACAAAATGCCATTATCAAACACACCTATGACATAAAGGAAATTTTACTTCAACTCTTGTGAATAAAACAGACCTAGATATGGAGAAGCCAATGAGTGAGTTCATTTTATTTACATACTGAATTTAGGCTATTTGCTAGCAGATCTCTCTGCAAAGTCTTTACCTCAGAACACAACTCCCCCATATTATAGGCATTTGACAGCCTACAAGTTAACTTGCATCACAGTTTCACAAACACAGAAGTTCTGCTGACCCCAAATAAATTAGAATACAGTTTACATATTGAGTACGGAACTGCATAAACAAACAGCAAAGAAAACTGAGGTAGCCAATTCTAAAGAAACTGTATTAGCTACCATTATATACAGTCAGTTATATACAACACACCAACAAGGAGGTTACACTTCACTTATACTGGAGTGTAAACAGAGCATACCTCAGCTGCCACACCAATAATTACTTTTCTTTCATACACACTTCCTTTCTGCATTTCCCAGGTTTCAAACACACTGCTCCATAGTAATATAAACCGCCTTTTGGTTCTGTGCTTCTCATAAAAGCATCACATTCACAAGTTTGGCTGCTGGGAAACTAAGAAGGAAGAGACAATTTAACAAACCCTAGGACACCCAAACTTCAGTAGCATAGGAGAGACATGTTCTAGAACATATTACAGCACCTGACAGCAGTTTCAAAGTAGAACTGCTACTTATACCCCACGATGTTTCCTCAGAAGTCTCCATCAATTAAATATGAGCTCCCACTTTCCACGTTGGTACCTGTTTAACTTCATCACTTCTTACAAGGCTAGATTTTGCATTTGGCTTCAGACTGCAACGTCCAACCTGGGGAGCAGGGGTGGAGTTAAAAAAAAATTATACCCAAGACAACTGAAGGAGATGATGCTTACAACAAAGACACTTTGGAGGAGTAGTTACACTTCTCTTAACATAGGAAAAATAAAATAATAAGCCCATAGAACTGCTTTAAGTACTTTTATTTTTAAAAACACTAGAGGGTAAATTGAGGCTTGAATACAGACTCATGAGATTATTCTGCTTGAACTAGAAAAAAAACATCTTCCTGTATCTATCTACTCCTGAATATGCTGGCCTTAAGCAGTCTCTCTTCCAGGACTTCATAATTCAGCTCTGTTAGATCCTGGAATAAAAGCTATTCCATAAACAAACTGTTCCAGGATCAAACTGTGATCTTTGTATCTAGAATCAGGTATGTCAACTATGCAATGGTCTGCAGCATCTAAAATACAAGCTTTGCTATTTTTAAGAAGTTTCTAATTTTTGCCTGCTGGGTGTCAACAGGGATAATAAGACTATACCAGAGCTGTTCATCCACTACAGTCTGTAAAATGAATGCTACGTCTGGATTTCCATGATATATTTTGTATAATTAGTTCCTTCCATCAGGCTTACAAATGCCCCAGCCCAAATCTTTACTTCAGTTTTAACATAAAAAGATAGAATTGCTAAGCAGAGAGACACAGTTTAAATTACTGCCACATCTAAGCAGTTCTGATGTTTGTGGAAGTCTACCAATCAACCAACAGTACTGGACTGTGTAAGTTAAAGTAGCTTGCACAGGCTGCTCTACAGAAACCAGCGCTCAGAATCACCTTTGTCCAGTGGCTCCATCTAGAAGATTTTTCCTGTTCATAAGCAACCTGTATTTTGTGTAGGCTTTGCAACAGCATTTGGAATGGATAAAGATGCAAACTGTGTGGAAATGATGCCACCTCAAATAAAAATATTACAGCCAATCCTTTTATTTTTTAACATAGCAAGTGTTAGTCCTCTCTGTACCTTCCCAGAACCTTTATTTGTAAAATCAGTCAATAAGTAGTGTTACTAACTAGACACAGAGCTTCTATGCATAAGTACCTGCCAGTTACCATCAAACAAGTGTCCACAGTTCTATCAACATGAAGTCAGTCTTGTAAGATTTTTCTCTTGACACATCTAGAAGTATACTTACCAGTCTAAATCCAGCCAAATTAACCAATCTTTGAGATTCTCTGCCTTGATTATATCTGAAAAAAGCAACTACCTAGGCTGGTGGCTTAAAAACATTGTAGTGAAGTTGTAGACTTTATGAAAACCCTGTAATTATCCACAAAACAAGCAGTCACTTCAAGAATATAAAAAAAAAAAAACAACAAACATTCTTATAATAAGCACATACCAGTGGGATCTCTGGACTAGAAAGTGGGGAGCTGTCAAAAGACCAATTTTCTTTGTCCAGGGAATCATCATCATCATCATCTTTATGTGCAAATTTCTGCTTCAGTGCACGAGTTAGTAGATCAACTGGATCCCAATCTGAACTTGATCTCCTTTTGGGTCTAGAAAGAGGAGTGCCTCCAGGGGACCTACAAAACAAAAATAAGAAAGAAAATTATTGTCTCCTGCCCCTAATCCTATGCAGCAGTGAATTAAAACAAAATATTTAAATATTGCAAATAAATAGCAAGGAAAAAAAAAGTAGCGCAAAATGTGCAGTTTTCACAGCAGGTCTCATTTATAAGTTATATTACAGTATGTTAGTGGGAATCTCCCACATCAAAATTGTGTTCACAATGGCTACAATGTATGTTAGTGGGAGATTTGGCTATGATATATGTTAGTGGGAGATAGCCATGTATCATAGCCATTGTGAACGCTATTTTGATTTAAACATCATTAAAGTTCAGAACAGTATGCCTTTCCATGGTCCTACAAGAAAGAACAAACTTATAAAATTCCTCCGAGCAATTGTATTTAAAGAAAGCAAATGCTTTGTTTAAGTCAAATACGTAGCAAAGTGTCCATAAAGCCCCCTTCATAAACCACACTTAACTCAAGTTTCATTATAAAAGGAAAAAAAAAAAAAACCACATTGTTAGATTTGGCACAAAGGCTTCAAAGACAGTTTTTCCCTCCAAGTGAGCATCTGAGCATCCAAACATTAAAATTGTATAGGCAAAAATTAAAGAGTTTACACTTTAATTTAGAAATTGTTTATATCAACTTCAAAATCAAAACACAGCAAAGAGACATAAGATCAAAACAGCACCCACACCCAAAAACCTAACATAAATGTGGAAGTTAGCGATTAAGTCAAGAAAATAAATCATAGAAAAGCTTCCTAACCATTGAGGTATTCAAAAAAACAATTAGAGGTATTCAGACATCTGCTAGTAAAGCACTATCTCCAGGCCAATGAATTGCACCTATTAATGCAGACTGACAGCACTGAGTTCAAAGTCTGGCAGTTACAGTAGATGTCGTTTAACATGAAACCTGAAAGGACTGAGTTTACCCTTGCTATAAAATCAAGCTGTCAGAGGACTTCCCCAACATGTAAGCTGGTACTTGGGTGGAAGAAACTGGAATCTTCAGGCTCTCAACTTCTGAGAACAGAGGTCTTCCCTCTGCAGTGCACACACTGAACTACTGTCAGACTGCTGCCTGAAAGATCATAGCAATTTTGATCATCATTACTCCCTCCAACAATATAAATACATCATACAGTTATGTTCTACCTTCAGAATACAGGTAGGTGCCTAAATCCAGAAAGCACTTTGGAGGTATACCTACCACTTCCAATTAACTATGCACTCGCTCAACATGACAGTTGTTAAAACTGTCAGCCTTAACATTTCACTTTCTTCACTACATGGAATTATGGTGGACTTTATATTTGATTTATTTACTGTGAAAATGTTATCAAAAGTGTAAAGATGTGCTTTAAAATCGCATATAGATAATTTCCCCAAGACTTGTGCTAGTTATTTTCGGGGATAAAGCTCAGAGTTAAGAACATGGTGAAATATGAACGCATTAAGCTTTGGTAAATTACATTCTCCCCACATGAGGAGCTCTAAATGTTCATTATAGACTCTGCTGTTCTTACATAATTTTTCAACTAAAGAAGTTCAGAAAAAACATCTCAACTTCAGTTACACCTAGCATACTGACTTGAAGAGGTACCAGTCGTTAATAGTGCGTGTTTGCAATATGTCAACTGTACTTACAACCAAAACAGTAGAACATTGAAAACATTTATGATCCAACTGCACTACTGAAATACAAATTTAAAAAACATTTTCAATAAAAGATACAGCATGTATTTTCTGTAACACTTCAAAGCCAGGACCAGGATACTTCGGGTATGCTAACAATAGTTTTCCAACATTCCCCCAAGGATCTGTCCTTTCACAGTGAATCAAAAAAAGTTTATTTGTTCAGATCCATTTCCTGTGACTGCGTACATGACTTTGTAAGTGATCTACACATATAGCAACACACCCACCTCCCCCACACCAACCTGAGATTATACTAAAGCAGCAGACTAGTTCTAGATGCTGTGATAGTCAGCATGTTTTAAATGCATCTAAAAGCTGTGTCACAAGTATCTTACATTCCAAGCTGTGAACTTAGAAGTTGCCAATGTAAGTTTGTCAGCAGTAGCTGCTCATTAAATATTTCACATTGGTGTTCCCTGGTGCTGTTTAAGCGCTGTGGTGCTGACATAGTTTTGGCTTACTCAGATCCACGTTCAATTCAACCTACCTCTCAGTAGCTCTCAGCTGAACTTTGTTGAGATCTTTTAAAACATCCATCATACTAGGAATGTTCTTTGTCCTCTGGTGACCAGCACTCTCAGCTGCAGTTGAACCATGTTTTCTTGCAGCAAGACGTTGTTTTGTAAGTTCAACTGCCGAATTACTAGCAGCAACACCAGATGGTACACCAGAAGGAAGCGGAGGAGGCGAGGGAATTACAAAGTGATTGTGAGAGACGGACAGTGGTGTAGAAGTCATGGCTGGCACTGGGTAAGATCCATCTGGAGTGCTGGATGTTTTAAAGGCTTCTGGATGCAGTTATCAAAGAAAAATAAGGATTTTATTTTTAGTCAGTATGCCCTCATAATTGACAATATTAAGCAAGAGCTAGGGTGACTCAGTTTTCAGTAAAGACAAGACAGCCCTCTTACAGCACTTTCTTATACACCTCATACAAAGAGCATTTTTTATTTCAAAACCAAAGATTCAGAATGCATGTAATAATGAATCTGAGGTATCTTGTGCTCCTCTGACTTTCTCCATTTGTGTCTTCAATCTGAGCACCAGATAAATCAGCAAAGCAGCCTACTGCTACACACAATTCATTCTCACGAGTCCAGAGGCTACAATAACCACATAATGCAAAAGCAAAGAGAACCACAAGACACATAAAATAGACTACAATACTGAGTGCAATGGAGAAGAGACAGAAGAATTGCCAACAGAACAGCTAACTGAATCACAAAGGTGAGCAATCAAAAGTAACTACCTCACACCAGCCCAAGTATTTCAACAACCACAGTGGGATTAGTGTGCAAATAAGACAATCAAGACCTCAAAACTCTTAAGGGAAAAAGAAAAAATAAAATAGAATTAAAAAAAAAAAAAAGGTGACAAAAGATAGACGTTCGTATTAGAGACCAACTTTGATGTTCTAGTGACACACCTATTTGCAGCATTTGTTTTAAGCCTGAATCTGACTGACTTGGAATACTTTTTCTATCCATTATTCTGACAACTTGGCAGAAACAGTACAAAACCCAAATGGGGTAATTAATAGTCTGTAACTGTTTTAAACAGTAATTGGTAGCCTATGAATAGTGTTGTTACTAAGCTCCTTCATAAACATGGTGGAGAGTACAAGGGTAACTTAAAATCAACTGCATTGAAAACTGGCAAAGATACTACAAAATAGAAGGGGGTAAAAAGAAAAGCAAAATACAGCATTCTGTAAATTTAGTTCATGTAACTAAATTTAGTTAGAAGAAGTTAGAAATTGGGATTGAGTTCTTCAGTTAGAATTAGAGATGTTCTCCATTAATACCAAGACACAGCAAGCTGTGAACAGGCTCTCTAAAGCAATGAAAGGAAAACTAGATTGCTTCAGACCAGAAGGGCTTACGTGAAGGGATGCTTCCCAATGTCTGTGCGGAAACAATTGCAGCAATCTGAGCACGAAGAAAGGTTAGCTCCTTTTCAAGTGCAGAAATTTTCTGGAGCGCTGCTCTATCAGCAAGATCACCTCCTTGTGTACTGTTTTTTGGACCATTTTGTATTGAATCTACAGATGGACATTGGTGACGATGACCTGTTCCGCCTTTCTTTTTCCCCCACAACTCAGTCCTAGAAAGCAGCAAAAGACATAGTTTCAAGCCAACACAGGGAATCCCAAAATTTACTCGCTGTCTGTTCAAGCAAGTTATCATTCAGCAAGCTATAAGTTTGCAAACTGAGAAAACGCTGCACTTCTAACTACTCATAACCTTAAAAATATTTTAAAGTCTCCCTCTGCTCAAGCATGATGCAGATCCTTGGAAAGTCATCATAGAAAAGGTCAGATATCAGCAACAGATCATACATCATAAAGACGTATTGTAGGAGTGAGCTGTTATTACTCAGTAACTATCTGACACCATAAAAGTGTCTCCTCCTCCTCCTCCCTACCTGAAAAAGTAGATATGAGAGGCAGAAAAGTCAAATAATAATGATCTTTTAATTAGGCTTCACAAATTTTAGTCATTTATCAAACTGTGCAAGATGAACACAGCAAGCAGCAAAGTTGCGATGTTACATAAAGATATTGGAGAAGAATGAATTTTAATACACGCAGAATAAGAACCTCATCCTCTGTAAGCGACATATGAACAGAGACTGCATTAGAAAGTTGTGCTACAAGTCTCAGGTTTTAATTTGAAAAACAGTTTTGAGTCTGTGCCTGCAGAAATAACTTCAAAAAGAACTTTAAAATATCAAATGCGTGTAAACAAAAACTACCAGAATTTCGTTATGAAATGAATTAATTTATTCAAGAAGCATTAAGTTTTGATTGAAACCAAACTAGACCTTTTCCCTTATATTAGTCATTCTTTTAGCTTAAATCAGACCTGCAGCATTGTTTTCTGATTTGCCCAAACCCCTTGCTAGTCACATTGGCTCAGAAGGGTAAGGTATAAATTGAAGTACTTGTTCCCAAAAAACATCCCACAGAGCTAGGAAAGGAGGAGGAAGAAGGAATAGAAAAAAACAAAAGAATGAACTTTCATGGATCTGTGAATCACATCAGCTAAAAATCATCACAAGCAAGACATAATAGGTCATAGTTCCTTTTAACAACATTCCTTACTCTTCCACTACTTTGCAGCTGTTGAAAAAAAACCTGTAATAATTCAACCGTAACATCTCAGGATCACAAGATGAAACATAACTTCATCAATACCTCTCTAATAAAATGGAAGTCATTTGAATTAATTGGTTTCTTGTATTTTCATTACCTGCAAGCAGCACAAAGGTCACAAACATTCCAGTAAGAAATTGAATTGCGTTGTCCGATTCAAATGTAGCACAAGACAATACAAGAGTCCAAATTTTAATCTTATTTCTGGCTCTCTGACTCATCCTCTGATTTTGAACAGATCCTTTAGAGGAACAGTAAAACAACTTTCTATGTCTTCTCTAGTGGGCGGGGGGGGAAAGGAAGACTTGTGTACTATTTCTGTCTGCAGATTCCTGGATAATTGGTCATTTCATGGTACTAGTAATAATTTATAATTGTAAAACTATTCTCCTTTAGCACTCTTTAAAATCTAGAAAGGATTATATAAACTATACTGAGGGTAAATTTTTTCAATCAAGAAATCATGGTTTTCTTTCCAGCAACCATCATGTATAGCACTGTAGCAACCATAGTCAAAAAAAAGACATTTTTTTCTTCTTTCTGCCCTTTTATAAAGTTTATCAAATTGATTGTAAACTAAAGGGATAAAAACAGGAATAATCTTACAGTATGCTGCAAAACCCAAATTTCATTAAACTCCGTCTCTTGCTCTCAAAATACCTTGTGAGTATATATAAAATACCAATGCATTAAACGTGCTATTAGAAAGAGAAAAGAAGGGACTCAATTTGAGAAATCTTCCATATAAGAATATTCTACATGGTAAGAATTTCCAGGTAAGCAGGAACCGCTTCCAGAAAAACGTAAAAGCCCAGGGTTGGTTTAGCTGGAACCCTGGAAGGGCTAGGAAAAAAACAACCAACCAAACACCAACACAAACACCAAAGAAGAGAAGACATAAGTTACTCCTATTACTCCTTTTTAGACTTTTACTTACCTAAGTCTAGTAAATGCCTGTCCCTCATCATTTGCCACCCAGAGGACATCAGCAAGTGATGGAGCTACAGGAGGTGGAATGGTGCTTTGTTCATCACAATCCAACAAACCTGGGTCTTGAACAAGCTAAAAACAAATAAAAAATGTATGAAGAGAAACTGGATCCAGCACATACTGAAAATTCTGCCTCAGCAAAAGGAGTTAAACTGTGCTATAGGCAAATTGAAAACAGTGAGCATAAGGAATGCAACACAGTTACACAAGCTAAAAAGAACACGAAAGCTATCAATTAAAAAAATAGATTAAACAGTTGAAGCATATGTATGAAATAAATTACTTACGCAAAAATAAGGTCTTGGGTAAGGCTCTATGGAAAGAATTGTCCCGAGTCTACGGACAACACTTCGAGTAGATCCATATTCCTTCTTTTGGCAAGCAGATATGACCTAAATATCAAAGAACCTTTTAATGTGAGAAGCAAAATCAAAGCCCTCAGTTCTTACAAAGTTATTAAATAATTTTATATGCAATTAAAGATAACGCAGTTAAGTTCACCTAACTTTTCAAAGCTCCTCTCAAGCCTAAAGTCCAAAGAGGCCAATGCTGGTTTTAATAAACTGCTTCCAAAACACTGCCAAGATACAGCCTATACCCAGAGTATTTTAGAGTGGCACAAAGGCTACCAAGGAACATAGCAGCTACATCATGTAGCTAATAATATCCTGAGATAACTGACAAATGAAAAAGTGCACAATTAAGTAACAATATGCATCTGTGTAAGCCTCGGGAAATAAAAAAAAAAAAAAGAAGAAGAAAAAAGAGTAAGGAAATGAAAGAAATTTAATGTACCTTGAGCTGATACCGCCTCATGACTGCATATAACTGCTGGAAATGCCTTCTGGATGAGTCTGCTGAAGGAAGGCACGTTCTGATTGTACGACTGATGCCGCTACCGAACACGCGCATTTCCAAAAATATGGCCTGTGGAAAGAAACAAGAACTCCCGACAGCGAAACCAGAAGATAACTGGGATACCTCTCTCAAACTAGTGTCCCTAGAGACACTTCAGCAGTTTCATGTAAATAAACCAAGCATTCCCTCGGAACTACGATTGCAGCAGTGCCTCACTATTGACACCCATCGGGAAAGAAATGCCCATAAACTCACACTCTAACATCTGTCCCCGACGCCGTATTAACCTTCTCCCAGCAAAACCTTTCCGAGGTTTCTGACAACACAGAGTTAACGGTTATTTGGGAATCGCTATGTAGCCTTTCACTTAAAATAGCAAAACCTGAACAGCTGATGTTACTGACTTCCCCCCCCCCCCCCGTTCAGGCATTACTGAATGGCTGTACCAGGGCAGTGACCACACAGTGCGGGCAGCCTGTCTAACCGCACCAACCAAGCTCTCCCTTGCCGACGGACCCAACCTCACGCCAGAGCCGAGTCTGTCCTGCCGCAGACGTGCGGCGGCCTGAGTTACTTTTCTTCCCCCTGGCCACAGCGGCTGCCGCCAGGACGGCCCGCAGTAGCGGGCTCCAGGCGTGGCGTGGCAGAAAACAGCCCCCGCTCCGCGCCCCAGCTTGGGGTCTCACCTGATCGGGCGGCCAGCCAAAGTACTCCAGCACTCGCCTTAGGAGACCCAGCACCAGCGCCATGGCCGCCGCTCCCGCTGCAGGGCTGGAGAAAGAGGTCACCGCTCTCACAGACACGGACACCCCTCCGAGCGGCGGCCCGCCTCCGCCGCACTCCTACCTCACCACAGTTAACAGATGCCCCCGCGAGCCGACAGCAGACATACTACACAGCCCAACCGGGCGGGCAGCACCAATGGGGACTAGGGGGCGGGGCAAAAAGGAAATCACGCCAATAGGAAGTAGGCAGTAGTCAGAGCAGAGCCAATAAGAGACGAGGACGGCCACGTTCGCGGTGCATGTCGGGAGGAGAGGAGGTTTGAACGCCGAGGGGAGGGTGATTCCGCCTGCAGCATACGTGTGTCGGCGGCTGGCTGCTCAGTGGGCTCTAGCGAGGGCCGTCAGCGTACGCTGTTCTATCCGGGCATCTCCTTGTGCCCGGCTGATACGGAGTATCCTACTCGAGGGACAACGCAATTTAGCATGTGCAGCATATCAACAACGTGGTGTAATTAGGAGCACCTTAATGAGCTAAACTGAAACGTGACAATTTAGGTCCTCTATCTCTTAAGTCTTTTAACTGGTTCTTTCAGAGAAGTAAATTTAACAAGGCAGAAGCAGAGCTTCAATGCACAAAGTATCCTCAAAACACTGTGTGACAACATACTGAGCTCATGTCAAAGTAAGAAATCCATCTTTGGATACTGTACTTGCTCTTTTGCCAAGACTTCTGCTGTTTTGCTTAAGAAACTTTGAAAATATCAAGAAAGCCAGTAGTGTGACGCAGTAAGACAATGCTTCTACTCAGAGAAGAAACGTGGGGATCCTTCTCCTACAGCTATGCAGTTAGTGTTACCTGCTCATAATCACAAATTCTCTCAAAGACCTAATCCTACTGTTCCTAGAGGCACTAATTTCACCAAAGCTTTCCAGAAATAAACTGATTAGACATTTTCTTTATTCACATTTACTGGAGTGTCTCAGTAACAATTCCCAGACAAACACAAGCCTGGAACTGTAACACGTTGTTGCAGTGCGACTGCCTTTCCTTGTAGTTACTATTATCCACAACTTGTTATGTGGATCGATTTTCAAAGGCCAAACAAAAAGGAACAGTACTGGTAACACAAGCTGTAGTAACAACATAAAGCTATTCTAGGGGACCAGGAGGGTTTAAACTTGAAGAGAGGAAAGGCAGAACTTTTTTAATGGGTGTTTTAAAAAACTGTACTGAGTACTTGCCTTGAAAAAAAATGTATTTTCTGCCCACTCCTCCATCACCTTTTGCTCCCTAAGAAAGTGAAACATTAGCACAACTGGATGGGAACAACTGGACACAGTTCCACCAGAAAGTTGTGAAGAGGCAAGGTCTCAAAAGCAACACAGAACTGAGGCTGTTCAGTTTGCACCATTATCAGTAACAAGCTGCACTGAAACTGGGCAAGCCAGCTGAGAAGTCACACAAAAGCAGTTCAAGTCACTGAGTAGGACTCTGAGCAGCACAGATATCCTGTGCCAGATCTCCTTAACAAAAGGGTTTTGTTAAAGGCAAGCTTTAAGAAAGCAGGACAATTGACATGGGACTTAGGACTTAGCTTTGCAGCTTTTACCTCCGGAGGCAAATCAAAGCTTGGTAACTGTTCTGCTTTTGAAGCACCAGCACAGCAAAACTAATGCAGGAAAGCTTTTATCATACTAACTGCCCACCCTTACAGTAATGCTACTGATAGTTCCTGGGAAGGAAGAGGATATGAGATTTAATTCCAGTGCACAGTCTAGACTAACAGTGTAGCTATTATGTTGGGGGGGGGAGGGGGGTATCCTTTTTTTTGTTTGGGCTAGTGAAATGAATGTCTGATTTTCCCCAAACTGCAGGGACAGCTTCAAACTTCTTAAGCACATCATGCAGAGATGAAGCAGATTCAGAAGCTGCTTCACCACTGGAGAACAGTGAGTCAGAACAAATTACTGAACTCAGAATGTAGCCGAATATTTTATACCAGTAGAATGCCTTTTTTTTTTTCCCTGCAGATCCATCAATGAGGGTCTTTATCATTCACAAGAGAAAGGCAAAATGCACTGAACTTCCATTCACAAGTCATACTACTTCAGTAGCACCAAACCATGTTTTTTCTTATCACAGCAGTGAAAATCCATTATTCATGTGTAAGTAGTAAGTGCTGACGCATTAGTTCTGGATTATAAAATATAATTCCAACTCTCACTTTGTTTCTTGTAGATCTCTTGACAGACTGCACCTTACACCTTTGCCTAGATTATCTTAAGCAGGTTTTAAATGTATTTATGGCTGTCACCATGTGTTCTGTAATCAACAAATGGCATTTTTATTGAACTGCACTGAAATTCAGGATAACAAAGCTACAGACCAGTCTGTAAGATTAAATGCCATTGTCGAAGCAATCTCTGACAGATTTTCTTGGACATTCAACTGCAGTGGAAAACTTGAATCTGTCTCATTGTGCTGGAACTGTATTGCCTTATGACAAACAAACCACAGCAGTCCACCTTCAATTTGACCTAGATGATACAGATTATCTGTCCTAAGGTTATGATATTTCAAATGTATCTTGGTCTTCTCTGTCAAGTTTCAAACTGGTGTTAAATTTCACTTCATTAGGATAAACTTTGACACTGCTGCCAAGTTTGTTTTGTTCCTTTTCTTGCTTATTCTGATTTAACATACATAAAGCCTCTGTGAGCTTTGCCAAGTCCAAGGAATAATAATTTTTACTCTCCAAACAGCTATTAAAAGATACACTGTATGTGTAAAACCAAGTTCTGCAACAACAGTAGTTTGCCTGTAACTCCCAAAACATGAGGCAGGAATGACCCTTCAGTAAGTACTACTGGAGGTCAAGTATTACTCCTATTTCCCTTTCTACAGATGCTGGCAAACCAGTGTGATCTGAAATACAGTTTTCTCAACTACAGTTAGGGTGACAGTACTACATTTTTCTACCTTCTAGAATTTAATTTGGATAGGGCAGCTGGTTAACTACTCCCTAACAGTAAAGCCCATAGGAGGGCATACATATACATGTATCTATATCTATCCATCTATCTATATCTATGTATTTAACACAAACACCTCTACCGAAGGTTCTCCTCCCCACCTCCCCTCCCTTTTTTCAAGGGCAGTATGCCATTCCAAGGGGAAACTAAGAACAATTAGACTTTTAACTCCATATAATATTAAGATTTGCTCTATCTATAGCAGACTGAGAAAGAGAAACGTCCTGGTAATTCAAGTGTGTTACTGTCATCTTTAACATTCTGTAGGCTAAAAGTGTGCCTACCGCTAAACTAAGTTTGTGGGCTTGTTGCTTTTGTCTAAAAAGCCAATCAACCAGAACAATTGTAGGTTTCTTCTGCACTTCGGCTACAAAAATATTAGAAGCACACCTACTTAAAAATCAGCGTTGAACACAGTAAGTGTCACTTCTCACACCTTTTGCTAACTTCAGTTTTACCACTGAGTTGTAACTTCAAACTTACACCTGCTATCAAATGGAATACCAAAGAAAGGTATTCCATTCCAGGGCACTGTAATGGAGCTCACACTTTACAGAATTGTTTAGTGTACCTGAAGTATCTTTACTGATTCAGGTTTTAATTTATCTTGTTTTATCTTTTGAGAGATTTTTGTGGTGGGTTTTTTTGGCTTTTTTTTTGCACAACTATCTGTACTTATGCTTACTGTGACTGGATAACTACCCTTAAATACACTACTTACAAAGAGGCAACACAGAAGTAGTAATCAGTTTATAAAAAATGCTGCTCCAAGATTTCAGGTGTGCAGAACTGTAAGTTTACTTCAGAATAAAACACAGACATAGGGGAGAATCAAAACTTTTAGAGCTGTACTTGACCATGTATTTGGACAAAGCAGAATTACACTGCATATAACAAACAGTAAAATTTCTTAAAAGTTGTTACAAATATTTTACTTTCTACCTGTACGATCATTAACATAGTTTACTATATCAAGATTTTTTTTTCTAAAGGCTTAAAACAAAAACAATCCCTCTAAACTACTTTCCAACAGTAAAATTTAAGTAAAACGCTTACATTCATTTGACAACAAAAAAAAAACCCCAAAACAAAAAACATATTAAAAATGTTGGGTGGGTGGTGCAAGAGCTGCTCTTTCAGCTACAACTTTCTTCTAGGGTTATTCCTGTTGAAAGAAAGAAAACAGTCTTGTAAAATGTTAATAACCCAAACTCCAAAACATGTTAAACATGACCCACTCCCCCATACACACACAATTACCTGAGATACTGCAAGATAAACTGTCTAATCTGCAATTCACTGAACTGTTTACCTTTTCCTCTTTGCGTCTGTCCTTTTCTTCATTATTCTCAATTGTTTCTTCTTCATCTTCCACAATTCCATCCCCTTGGTATTTGTCATGTGTCCACTTCGGACTGCTACCTGACTTTTTGAAGTTAAAACGCCCTCTGCCGCGCTGGAAAGTACCACGGCCTCTTCCTCTTTTGGCCCAATAATCCACACCATCATCTCTGTCATCATGCTATAATAGTATCGACAAAGAACAAAGTCAGAATACCTCTGAAATGTACACCCTTTAATGTTAGTACTCTATTATTAAATTTATACTATACATAGAAAACAAACAAACAAAACACAATTAAGAGAAGTTTTTAACAGTTCAGATCATAATAAATTGTTTGAAGAGCCCTTATCAGCTCTGGACCTACTCAAATGTTTGTGAGCACCAAATCAGCTACTTGTCAATTCAGTCAGAATAAAGTAACTAGCTTTGAGAATAAAGTATTTGCGATTTTAAAGAAGGAAGCTCTAGGAATGGGCTAGGATTTCTTATTTTTACTTCAAAGCAGAGATAGAATTCTTCATACTTATTAAGGGAAGGTAACTGAAGGCAGTTTTCAGAAACCCTGCTTCACCTGCACAACACAGGGAAAATGAAGTTTAAACTGTTCAAATCTGACATGAACAACATTTGAGTTTCTTTGGTTCATTAGCTTAAATTTTGCTATCTTGCTACCAAAT